GAATCCTTTGTTGCATACAATGTGACGAGTTATTTGAAAAAAAGTAGACCTTTTTTTCCCGTTGCAAAATACGTTTCGTTGCAAGCGATTGCGTACCACTAAACTTTCTTCCGGCTCGAGAAGAGTGAACAAAACATTTGGTCACGGTGATGCAGTGCACATCGACTTCTCTAAGATAGTTGGTCGGGTGAACCACAAAATAACGCAAAGGAAACCACACAATTATGGAAGTCGAGGAATTCTAATGGGTTGGATAGATAAATTTCTTCGAGAACGCACCATAGAAATTCGGGTTTCTGGGCCACTTTCTAATCCCATCAACGTAACCCGAGAAGTTCCACGGGGATCCGTGCCTGGCCCTCAACTTTTTCCAGCTTTCATAAAAAGACCTAACGAACAATCTGGGGCCGCAAACGTTGATATTTACAGACGAAACGAAGATCTGGAAAACAGTGACAAAACTTGTGGTCGATCGAAAATGACAACGAATTCAGTTCATCAAAATTGACGATCGTATGACTTCACCACAAAACTTGGTTTCCGTACTTCCTGGCATATCAAGACTTCCCATGTGCCTCGAATGAGAAGGATTTTGTGAGCATTGTTCAAGATGAACTAAGTTGCTTTTTTGAATTGCTCCAGAACTTCCTCCACCGTTGCAAGACACGCTGATTTGCTAAAGCGAGTATTTGACCAATTCGATCCTATGCTGTACCCACGTTTGTCATCAACCTAGATTAAACTTCACCCAGAGTAAGTCATTCAAGAGTGAAATCCATGGCTGAAACGTAATCGTTAGATTCTGGAACATCCACACAGAATGATCATCAAATGGTCAAGGGACTGCATCCCGAGACTTATGTAGAAAGACTGAGATCATGGGGGTTGTACTCCACACAGTATCGCTAAATTGGAGGAGAATCGACTTTGCTGTATCAAATAAGGCAGAAACCTGATCACCCATGTCGTTCACTTTTGGCTTTGTCGCGCAACACTCATCTCATTCAAATTACTGCTCCTAGAATGTCGACTAGAGTGCCGAATTCATTTATTTGGGCTCAAAGTGTGCAGTATCCGGAATGCGCTACGCGCTCATTTTATTTATGTGTCCATAAGTGATTCTTTCAGGAATAAACTGGATGGACCATTGTCATGTCTTAACTTTCAGCATCCATAGCAGTACATAAACATTGAATATTGGTGACATTTTTTATCTCTCGATGAATCGAAAACTGATTATTCATTTGTGGGAAAAACTCCATGAGTCAAGAAATACAATGGCTTGTAGTTCTGTAATGATTGTAGTAGTTGCAGTCGTAATGCGCACGGAATTCGGAACACCAACCACGCAATATGAATTACAGGACCCGAATCGATAATCATCTATCACGTACTGGATAGCAGAAGCAATGTCCCACGAGAACGAGACGCGAGGAAAAGGNTGTACAAAGGGAGATTATTGGCTGCTTGGGCATCCACCAATTGGATTGCCGCACTGCTTGCATAATCTTGCTTCTGTCTGCATTGTCTCGGATTGGATGGCACCATCCGCCAATGACGTGTGCTCAGAAGTTATGCACGTGCTATTGACGTCAGTATTCAAACTTGCTTGATCGTCAATGTCCTGATACTGTAACGCGCCGCTCCAGGGTAGGCGCCATCGTGTAGGCCTGGATCAACAAAAGTTCCCGTAATAAAACTTTGACATTGACCAGAACGGAGACAGGAAGAGGGAAAGAAAGAGAGAGAGGAAATTATATCATTTCCAATTCAATTTTTCTAAGCATCAGCGCGGACCGCAAAGATTTATCAACCTCCTGTTGAAGAACAGGAGAGACGGTTGTGAGACGTGCCTCGGTCACACACACCCTAATTCCCTTGATGTATATATATATATATATATATATTGATTATTTACCTTACCGGTACGCGTGCGCATCTGCATGCACGTGTGTGTCTTCGTCCCCTCCGTCTGAAAAAAATTCTATCGAACCATAATCTGCTGATGGTAATTGATCGTGCGCGATCAAAGCTTGAGTCATTGCTTACGCCCATCGCATGATGCCACAATAGAATAGAATTCATAGACTACAGCTGAATACGATGCAATGGGACAAGAATCGATCGTGCTAGATGGATATAAGCATCAATGTTGACCAGATTCTCATCCAGTTTATTTCAAACTAGCAGATTGTATTCGACTTCTGTGATACTTCCACGGGAGCAAATTCAAGTGCTGAAAAATCAAAATGACCATTTTGGCCATAAATCCGGAACAGAATGAGATGTCTTCATAAAACAAACTGTAATGGAAATAAAGTAACAAAAACTGTTGAAAAATATCATCAATTTTTATGAAAATTACGAATTTTTCAGAAATTATAGGTTAAAATTGGAATGTTTAAAAAAAATACAAATCATGGGTGCCATCTCAAAATGAGAGCTCGTAAATTATTCATTAGAGGAAGCTTCATTCTACATTCTACTGCTAAGTGAAGATCCAGGTAAGTTTCAAGCTCCTCTGGATAGTTGGAATTTTCCTATTTGAGACATCTGTGTCACCGTGACCACATCCAACTGCCTGTGAAACGTCGAATTTATACTGCAACATTTTGACCTGGTCTGATTTATGGCGCAGAATCTGAGCCATAACGAAAATGAGATAGTGATAGACTGTCCGTGTTTTCAAACGCGGCTGTCCACGCAGCAGTGCATGAATCTGGTGAGGTAGCTGGACAAATAAACCTGCGAGTAAAAGCACACTTTTAGGTGGACACGGATTCTTTCGGATTTGCCATTCCGCACAGGTCATTAGCGAATGGAAAAATTGATTTCCGCTAGTGTGTATTCTATTACAAAACTGATCATTTCACAGGCCCAAAGATCTTTCAGTCATTAATAGTTCCTTCTTTGGACTCTGTTCTTCTTCTAGAGAGACTTACCAATTTCTACCTTGCAAGAGCCTTATTGGTTGGGAATACGTCCCAGCCCGGAATCTTTTCCCTCACAGATAAATTAACCCCCTAAAGGCACCTTGTTTTTACATTTCGATGCCATCAGGCTTTTAGCTCTCTATTCATAAGTTGTGAGTATCCTTTATCTACGTATTCGTTCTCTGCCGGTCCCCCTCCCCCATTTGATCAGTAACAGTATGCAATTTTTTTTGCAATCAGTCAATGGTTATCGGAATGAGAATTCTGCAATTTGACTGATGTCTTTTATCTTATTTTCTTTACTTTACTGCGGCTGACCCCTTGGATAGGATAAGCCGGCTCCAGACATGATCATGATCATAAAGTCCCTTGGGAGTTTGGTACGAGAGACCGCCCCAGCGCCACTTGGCGTTTGCTATTTTGAGGGCCTTTGCACAACCAAGAGCAAACTGCAAGACAGCAGGAGATAATCCCTCGCCTGGAAAGTGAGGGGAGTCAATGGCTTTAGTTTTAAAAGGTCAGTCACATCGACCTTTGTCACGAGACCGTCATTGGCCTTATGCGGTTTTTAAACAGAAGCCAGCTGACCACCCTGGTAGTGTGGCGTCGCTGATTTTTTCGCGACTGCTTATTTGTTACAGCGCGCCACAACTTATTCACAGCTAACCTTCTTCGGTGAAGGTATCCCCATATCCACAACCCGGGGACGTGTTTGACAGCATTCAGCTCTACTTAACCCCGAGGGTATCCAGGATCGATATTGATTCGAAAAAGCACCTAAATCCGCTTGCACGTAGACAGAGAGGGAAAACATCAGTGCTAGTAAATAGTCTTTTTGTGAAGCATCTAGCATGAAAGGCGGATAACCCTATATAAACAAGTTGTCCAATAGATATGCATCGTTCATTGATCCCATAAAATTCGTAACCATATCAGCCAATGAAATGTTTGATTATTCTTTCCTTATTTATGTTGGTATGAAATGACTGTCGTTCAAACTTCACCTCCCAGCAAAACTCCCAGTTTAACCGATCGAACAGTTTCGCATTTGTCAGAGTTCACCACTGATACAAATTCAATGATTAGTCCAAGATTTGAGAACCAGAATCCCGCTTTGCAAGTTGTGTATATTCGCACTGTGCGATCTGCTACTCACTTGGATTTTCTCACCTGATTCTTATAATAAAAGCTTTCGTCAATCTGGTTTCTCATTATCGAATTTTATTTTTACTTCCATAACCGTAAGCCTTGTCTAAATGGTCCATTTTTCTCAAGAACTTCCTTGGTTATTCACAATGTCTGTCTGAAATTTGCAGATACAATTGCACGTTCAAAAAGTACACAAAGATGTAACACCCACCTAATGAGTATTAAAGATGAGAAAGTGAGCCGCACGTCCTGCAATGTTGCAGTGATTTAAATTCGTTCCAATCAATAACACTCATCGCGTGATTCTCCTGTGCCTATTTCGGTCGGGACATTGGCGGAACTGGGTAGGAGATTCACACACACA